ATGAACATGGAGAAATTGCTAACGCCCTAAAGGATTATTTTGTAAATATCGGGACCAATCTAGCTAATAAGATAGGAAAACCCATGGGTGAAACTGATGTCACTAAACACATAACTGCTAATATAAATACCATGTTTATTAAGGACACTGATGAAAAAGAAGTAATTTCCACAGTAAAAAAAAAGTAAAGACAACAGATCAAAAGACTATGAGGGCTTTGGCATGTCGTTAATAAAAGTATAATAGAATGTATTGCAAAACCGTTTGCATTCATTTGTAATCAATCATTTAAAACAGGTATTTTCCCCAGTAAAATGAAAGTTGCGAAAGTTATACCAATATTTAAATCAGGTGATAAAAAACAGTCATCCAACTACAGGCCAATCTCTCTATTGTCTCAGTTCTCCAAAATAACAGAGAAAATATTGTACTTGTGAGCAGATTGGATGATTTCAATTAAAAAAATAATTTACTAAGTGAGCATCAGTATGGATTCAGAACAAAAAGATCAACGGCAATGGCAACAATTAGCATGGTAGAGGAAATAGCTAAAGCGATTGATTATAAAAATAATACAATAGGAATTTATTTAAATGTTTAGAAAGCCTTTGATACAATAGATCACAATATCCTGATAACCAAATTATATAAATATGGCGTAAGAGGAACAGCATATAACTGATTAAAAAGCTACTTAACAGGAAGAAAACAATTCACAGAAATCCAAAATGTAAAATCACCAACAAAACAAGTGTACTGTGGGGTACCTCAAGGTTCGGTGTTAGGACCCAAGTTATTCACACTTAACATAAATGACATCAATAAAGTAACCAATCAATTGAACTACATTCTCTTTGCAGATGATACCAATATGTATATCCCAGGGAAAGACATAGAACAACTATTGAATATGGTTGGAAGTGAGCTAAAAATACTAAAGACCTGGTTTGACAGTAACAAATTAACATTAAATCTAAGAAAAACTAAATACATTATATTTGGAAAACAAAAACAAAACAATCTTCCTAAATTAATAATAAATGGGGTAGAAATAGAAAGAGTAAGTGAAATTAAATTCTTGGGTGTCACATTACACCAAAGGCTGAGCTGGAAGCCGCACATAGAAAATGTTAAAACTAAGATGTCTACAATTATTGCAGTCTTAAATAAATCTAAACATATTCTAAATGGAAAATCATTATTACTCTTATATCAATCATTAGTTCTTCCTCATATGATGTACTGTCTGGAGTTCTGGGGAAAGACAAATCTCACATAAAACCCATAGTTTTACTACAGAAAAGAGCAATAAGAGTAATTATCAACTCTGATTACCATGCACCAACCTGTCACCCTGTTTATAAAACTACAAATACTTAAATTTACAGACCTGGTCAAACTACGAACAGCACAAGTACTCTATAAAGTACAAAATAAAATATTTCCAGATTGAATTTAGAAGCTCTTCCAGGTCAAAGAAACTCAGTGTGAACTAAGGGGAGAAGGACAATTTGTCAGAGAAAGTAAGAACAAATGTTAGAAGTCGGAGTTGCACAACAGTAGGAGTCAAATTATGGAATAACTTGGACACTGGAATCAGGGCATGTAACACTTAAATCATTTAAAAAAATGTACGTTAAGAAGATGATGTCAATGTCATACTACCATAATGACCATATGTGAGCTAGTGTATCTGATAGATGTGAATGAAAATGTAATGTCCTTGCACAAGTTATAGTATTTAAATCTCTGTTTTGATCATTATACATTGACTTATAAAGATTACTGGGAGTTTTGTATAGTTCTGTCTTTAGTTCTGGGTATTTTTCCTCTTGCTGAATTATGGTTGTTGTTGCTCAATAAATGTCAGTTATTATTATCATATTTATAATTTTTATCTCACTCATTTTTATTATTACATTACTTTAATCTTATTATTGTCATTTCTTTTCTTTTTCTTTTTTTTGGAGAAGTAACGTGATGACTCTGGTGATTCCTCAGTTCTTGAGAAAGCTTCAGACCGGCCATCTGAAGCAAAACCCTCTTTAACCATCAAAGCTTTTGACACGTCTTCAAAACCTTTTTGCACCTGCAAAGCTGATAAAGCAAACAGTTCCTGCAGAACGAGTTGATATTGTTCCGACTCCTTTAAGAGTCCCAGACGCGCGGTTCCATCCATCTGTCGTGACCCGAGACATCTCTGGACTAAAGAGTCAGTGTCACGGTATTCTACAGCCCTTCGGTGCCAGAGGTCAGCCGACCTCTCTGACCTTCGGATCCACCAAGAGGGTCTCCGAAAACGGGTGAAGTAGACACAGAGATAGCATCTGATGTGCGTTTGATAATAATGAACTTCATAGCTAGTATCACAGCTTATTGGTCAAAAGTAGAGGTAATATATACATATAGCTCTTAAAGCACTCAATTTACCGAACCCTACACATCGCTACAGGCAGAACTGTCTGTGGTGGGCCACCCCAAAGTTTTCTCTGGCCCCATCTGACCACCCCTGAGAAAATTATCTGGTGGAACCACAGTCAGGGCACAGCTTGTTTATGTTTTTACAACAATGGCAGAATGTGACGAATCAAAACAACAAAGATGGCGGTGGCTCAAGAACGGTGCATGTTTGAACAGCTTTGGCATCAAACCATGATGACCAATTTTCATTACAATGAGTATGTCGCCTTGTTCGATGGTCTGATTGGTCCTAGGTCCTAGCGCTGTCCGCCCCAACAACTTACCTCTGTCTATGGATCATGGCCAGACTATAAAGGGCGGCTTGTCAGGCTACCTTTTCCACTGAAACCCACTTTTTCATATAACAATGTGAGACAGTTTGTCATTCATTCATTACAGGTAAACACATTTGTGGAAATATCTTCCTAAAACTTCCCTCTAGACTGTTTTTCTGTAGCCTAAACATCACTTTGTAGTTCTGTACATAGTAATGATCAACAGTTTTGTATCCCCTGCAGCCTCCAGGCTTGTGTTTACCACCAAGCTCCCAGCTCTTCAGCATTTATTATGCCATGTAAAATTAACAAGTAGAACCCAGTCACAGCTGCTGATGATTCAGCCCACATGATACCTCTGTCTGCAGGGGGAAAATTTAACTGGAATAATTAAAACAAAGTTGATATTTCTCCAAAATTCAACAGGGTTCCAATCTCTCTAGAGTAAAACTGAGTCACTTTTCAGTCTCACTGTTTAATCCATCTTTCTTCTCTGCCCTCCTTGAAAGAGTCAAGCCATTACAAAGATCCTCTCTTCCCAGGCTGTATTGATGTACAGCTCTCCTTTCTAAAATCAACAATCTGATCAAAACAGTGGCTGGAGAGGAGGGAAGAGGAAATAGAAGAGGGGAGACTGGAGAAGGCAGACGAATGGAGAGAGATACTAGACCCCACCTTAAAAATGGATAGCTATAAAGGACTAAATTGAATTGTTCAATGACCCCTTTGATTAAAGAAAATGAAAGAAATGAAGAGTTTTATGTATTAAAGCATTTAAAGAAAGTATTTATAAACATGGAAAAAAACAGTGCAAAGACATGAGAGCCGAGGGATTTACCAAATGCCAGTGAGCAGTGAATTAAAACAGACAACAGTGTAAAAGAACCTTGATGTGTGTGTGTAAAGTGCTCTGATCCTTATTGACTGGCCTGAGGAAATGGTTTTTCTTGATTGAGGAGACTGCGCTCTATCAGAGAGGAGACGGAGGCATGATGGAGCAATCAGAGCCAGACTATCTCTCTCAGTTACTGTAATTTCATACAGACCCTCCTGCACACACGTCGTTTAGCAGACAGATAACGGTGTCTGGCATCGTTAACCTGGCAGATTTCTAATTCAGACGGATTAAGGATGCTGCCTCTGTCATCGCTGTGTAGATCTGTGTTTGGTGGGGTTGTAGTTTTAGAGCTTTTGCCACAGGGATCCACACTCACTGAACACATTATCCACCCAAACACATCAGTATGCCTAAAATGCCAAAAGGGATCTACGAGTAGACTCAGAAATGTTAAAATATTTAAAATGTATATGTCCTTCATACACACAAATAAACACAAATTGGTAGACTTTTTAAGGGTTTAAAAAAATGTACACATTTGGCTCTAACTGAGGAACATTAAAAAAGTGAAGTTTAAAGGAAAATACAAACAAAAACACACTAAATTATCACTTGCCACCTGTGGATCCTCCATTGGGGGACTCAAGGGACATACTAGTGCTTTTAAAGTGACGGTGTGTATTTTCCTTGTTGATGCAGTACATACCAAAATCATTGCAAGCAAGCAGTATTTCTGTGTTCAAGTAAGACCTTACAATAGATGGCGAGTACTTCGTTAAATTTTTCAACCTCCAGCAAAATGACACACATCAGACTCCCTTTAATCAGTGGCAACAAGCGAAGAGGTAAATGAGTAAAACAACATTTATGAATGGCTAAACCGTGTAACCATTTGTTACAAACCAGTAAAAGAGTTTTGTCCTCACGGGCTCCTGTAGAAGGAAACATTGCATCTAATATGGTGTCGCCCAAAGACGTAGGCCTGATGTTTATGCTTATGTTACAAAGCCACCAATATTTTTCAACATCTGGGCATCATTTAATTCTTTTTCAACAACATTTTGATGGATATTTCCAGTGATTAATGGTAAAAACTACACATTATCACTTTAAAAAGGTTTTACTTTTAAATTAGGTGTGCTGAATATGTTTAGTAAATAAAATGAACGCATAAATAAAGCATTTTAATCATGCCCTGCACAGAAATCTCTGCAAAACTAAGCTTTTGACATTTTACGACACTTCTAGCAACAGCTGAATGATGTGAAAACTAGCTACACCTGCAATTTCTCTTTTTAATCAAATTGTTTTTACAAATGTTTGTTTTCTGTTTGCCCTCTGATGAGGGTTGCAATGGAACAACAATGAAAGACAAAAAAAATCAATAGATGTCAGATGTGCTGTGATGGTATTGAGTTGACCCTTACCTCCTAAGTGATAGGTTCCTCCCGTGGTGATGCTGAGAGGCGAGGTGGAACGAACGGCGGACATTTCGTCACCGTCTACTGTCAGCATGGCAAAGCTCTCCTTAGCTACCAAACGTAAAGCGTGCCACTGGCCATCATTGAGACCAGAACCTGAAGAGATGGGAATATGAAATTGAAAGAATAAAGAAGATAATTTTAGAAATGTTTAAACACCATCAGTAATTTGAAATGAACACAGCACAATAGTCATTTTAGCTTTCTTGTGACAATAAACAAAGATAGAAAACTGAAATCCTTACAGAATGGTATAGTATTGTATGGTATGCTGTGGTGTGGTGTGGCATGTAATGGTATGGTCTGATATGGTATTGTGTGGTCTGGTATGGCATTTGATGGTGTGGTATGGTATGATATGGTATGGTATGGTATAATGTGTAATGGTATGGTATGGTGTATTATGTAATGGTATGGCATGGTATATTATGCAATGGCATGGTATGATATATTATGTAATGTTATGGTATGGTATATTATGTAATGGTACGGCATGGTATGGTATGGTAATTAGTGGTCTGGTATGGTATTTGATGGTGTGGTGTGGTGTGGTATGGTATGGTATATTATGTAATGGTACGGCATAGAATGGTTTGGTAATTAGTGGTCTGGTATGGTATTTGAGGGTGTGGTGTGGTGTGGTATGGTATGGTATATTATGTAATGGCATGGTGTGGTAATGTCCAGAAATGGTCAGTTTTCACCTACAGATTGACCTATATGCCACCGGTCATCTGCAGACATGCGTCCCATCCTCTAAGGTGGATTTTACACTCTATCTTCCTAAAGCCCAGAAGGATACTGCAACCTTGTTGACATTTCAGGAGGAACACATTGTCAGCCTGTGTTCCCAAACAAAGCCTTCTCTGATGACACTGCAGAAGTGCCCACTCTCTCAATAAAGTGGACGTTTTCATAAAATGAAATCAACAAATGTGATATGAATAATAATGTTTTATTGATCTGTGCTTAAATTAATAAGGTTGATTGATCTGTGCTTGAATTACTGAAAGTATGAAATTAATTATTACATTGAATGATACATATATATGGTAATCAGTAATGTTTGATATGGCAAGGCAATCGTCACCGCACTCAGACACAAGGACAAATTAAAGTTAAGTTAAACTCATGACACATAGATATTTCTTTACCCCAGATCAGAGCGTCCGGTATCTCACGAAGTCGTGATGCCTGAGGTTTTCTTGGTAATATCCCTTAACATGGCACGCTCCGATTGGCCAAGTAAATCATAATATGAGAATATTAAAACAGAATCACTGTGGTGATTCAGTAGTCGCATTCCAGCTGCCCATGATTTAACAATCAGTTCTAGAGAGCGCTTCAGAACGGCCATCCGGAGCGACACCTTTTGACCCTGAGCATTTTTGGCAAGCTGCCAAAACCCTACTAAAAGCTGCCTACCGCTGACACAGCAAACGGTTCCTACAGAACAAAGCTTATATGGTTCCAACTCCGAGTCCGCCTAGACGCAATGGTTCCATCCACCTGCCGTGACCTGGAGACGACTCTGGACTGACCTGGTCGTACTGCGGTTAATCTATGGACTTCGTTACTTTGGGGCCACACGACCCCGTGACATCTCGGATCCAAAAGAGAGTCTCCACTTGGGGTGTGTAGACATGACAGATAGCGTCTGTTGCTTTTCGATAATAATCAACTCCATAGCTTAATGCAAAACAATTTCTTCCCTTTGCACCCAGAACTCAGCTCTTCTAGATACAAAAGTTCTGATTAGGGGTTGCATGACTTAATTTTTTTTAAAGTCGACTGTCAAGTAGGGCTGCAACAACGAATCGATAAATTCGATGAAAATCGATTACTAAAAGCGTTGGCAACGAATTGCGTCATCGATTCGTTGTGTTGCACAACTCTTCCAAAAGCCCCCTCCCCTCCTGCCCGCCGTTGCGCGCAGACCGGTGGAGAGCCGGCAGGTGTTTGTAAGAGGAACATGGCAGAAGCAGCGAGACCCCAAAAAAGTAAAAACTTCTAAAGTTTGGAAGCATTTTCAGTTAAATCAGGCGAAGACATGCAACGCTTGTAGGTCAGACTTAGCATGGCACGGGGATACTACGGTGATGATGCAGCGTCTTTGTTGAGGGTCTGACCTCATGAGGAAATTACTATGCAGTGATTTTCTCCAAAATGACTGTGCTTAAATTGCTCTGAAAAGCAAATAATCACATCAGCGCCAAGAAACTTCATTTCCCATGATGCTTTGCACACGGAAGCATTGGGATGATGTCACCGCCTAATACCAGAAACACGTTCTGCGCATGTGCGGGAGGCCATGGAACTTTTCCCGTAAACTAAGACTATAAATCATCAGGAAAGACAAAGGGACTTCGTTCTTTTGCCCAGGATACCTGGCGGTAAGGACACGCTTGTCGAACGCTCCGACTCCCTTGAGCACGCGGAAGCTCTAAGTGCCCAAGTTGAGCCCACGGAACTGCTGGAAACTACACTCCAACTCCATCAGGACCTGACTGGGAACGAGCGGAGCTCCATCCAGCTCTCAGAGACGCTGTAAGTTGTCAAACTCAGCCCAAAAGAAACTTCGTTCTCTTTGTGTCCAGCCCGTTGGAGAAACACTCGTGGGGCCAAAACAACGGAGAAAGCATCAAACCGACGGACGACGCCAAACTCCGGAGAAACACGGAGAAACACGGAGAACCGTCAAATCAAAACAGTGAGGGACGCCTTGCTGTTCTGGTGATCAGAAAACTCATTTCTCTCTCTCCTTTTCTTCTCCCGTTTCCTCTATAGTCCAGAATAAGCAATAAAACCGCGCTATTGCTTAAAAAGTAGCTTCGTGTTTTCCTCTTTCGTTCCCAAACACGTCCGTCGGGTCATTTTGAAAGAATAAACTGCTTATTGATCATTGTTTGGTATCTTTAAATGTTTTCTGCTTGGCCACGTGGTTAAACTAAAAGATATTATTCGTGATTAATCCTTTGTGTTGTTTCATGATCCTTTGAAATGTTTTGAGTGAATTTAAGGTTAAGTTACTTATGATTCTAAGTGCCTTGGAAGTTAAAGTGCAAGTTGCCACCCACACTTTAGCCAGACAAAGGGGTCAGCCATCTTGCATACAGACTCCATTTTAGAAACACACACACACATACATACACACAAAACACCTTGAACATTATTTTGAATATACATCCTTTTATTATATCACATGGTTATTATTCATTTATGCCACTGTTTATTCATTTGACAAATTGTTAATTAAACGTTATAAAATTCAGATTTTCGTCTCCAGTAGCTTTGTTGTGTCGAAGAGAAGTCTCTGCTCCGAGGATTCTACGAACTTCAAGAAAGACTGATAAGAGTTTTGGATTCAATTTTTCACCGGTTAAAGGGGAATGGTGCCCCGTATATCTAAGAATATCTTAATTAATTAATAAATCCGTAAATATTTACATATTTACAGAATTTATTGAAGAATCCAAAAGTAAGTTGAAGCTTACTAATTGTTCGCTCCTAATAACCCCAACATAAATTGGTGCAGCCCGTGTGAGGCTTGGATACACAGAGATTTCTATCCGGCACAAACAAACAAATAAATCTTTAGCTTGAATTAAAAATAATCAGTTGTTCAGCCTTGAACCAGCAACAGAGTGGTGCTGATTTCGCTGAGCAGGAAGCTGCATCGAACTCTCACCAGTAACTCAGTGCTTCTTTAAAGGTGCAACGGGTAAATTAATTCTGGTTGACCTTTTACGTTAAAATTCAGTTTTTCCTTAAAGGTGCAATGTGTAATTAATTCTGGTTAACCTTTTAGGTTAAAATTCAGTTCTTCATTAAAGGTGCAGTGTGTAAGTAATTCTGACTAACCCTTTTAGGCTAAAATTAACTGCTAATTTAGCGACTTTAACTCACTGTGGCTATTGTAACTAACTGAAACCTTCACTCAAAGACTGATAACACCCTGTTTGCTAATATTCTGAAGGAATAACTAGCACATTTAACACTGCAAGTGTTGTAAGACGTTGCTTCGGCAACGCACCAGCTTTTGCTAAAATACTGAAAGGAATAGTATTTTAGGCGTTAGTCACGGCATTCCGTGCAATCTTAAAACGCTAAAACCTGTGCGCACAAAGGTTAATTTAGTGTTTTTCTGCTACAAAGCTAGCAGTTGCTGCCCAAAAGGTGCAGTTTGAGCTATCTGCAGAAGCTCTACTAGGCTATTTTGGTTCGGTTGTTAAAATGGAGGGACAGAGTAGTGAACTGACCAACTCCCAGCAACCAGGTGGCGCTGCGGCCCACGACTATGAACCTGGCCTACTTTCTGGACAAATATTGTCCAAACTGGTCACGGTTGCTCGAGAACCCGACTACCCTTCTAGGGATTTCACTGAAGAACAGCTTGATGCTGTAATTGATCAAATAGAAAACCCGGATGGTACAAAACCAATCCAGGTTCACTTAGCTAAGTTAGCCTTGATCCTCTATCAGAGAGAACTCCAACATGATCGAGAGATCATGAAGCTCCAGAGCATGCTAGCTGAAAGGCAGCAAAATGGAAGGCAGAAGGATGACGAGGAGGAAGACAGCACCGATTCTGGGGAAGATGGGGAGAAGACCCCGCCCCCTTCTGCTGATGACAACAGACAGTGGGAAGGGGGGGAACACCGTGACTCTGAGGCTGAGCTAGAGTGCTCTCCCACACCGGTACGAAAGCAAGCCGGCAAAGCTGACCAGGGTCCGCCCAGGACGATCGCCAAAGACCAATTGGTTTCCTCCACCCAAGTAAGCGAGGGACCGCCGTCCCGCCGTAAAGGTAGGCTACCTCCTGATACGTCTCCATACGATAATCAACAGTATGTGGTGTGGGACTCTCTGGACGGACGCACGCCGCAGGGGAGAGATGAAGCTTATCTGTTCCAACCTTCGGCCCCGTTCCCTACACACACTATAGGGCATTCAGGACCACCTAGGGGCCGAGGGCAGTTCGCCCTCGAACCCCAGGTTGGACCACCACCCTCATCTTCACGGCCTTCTCAATCAGTGAGAAGTCGACCAGCTGAGCGGCACCTCTATTTAGACCGCTCCCCCAGTCCATGAAGGGT